ACAACACTGAACAAACCAAAATCTAGCTGGGCAGGTTTTGTTGCTTGATATTGCTTTTCAAATCAATAAACTCATCAGAATATAGAATTTATTAGAAATTAGGAAAGGCTTTTTTTTTTTAATTATTTGTTAAATTATGTTGTTTGACAAAAGCTCCATTCTGGCTTCTGACCAAACAGCTTTTTTCATTTTCCATTAATAATAATTTATTACTAACAATATTAGAGAACTTGGAAGATAATTCCATAAATGTCCACAATCTTAGCTTATAAGGGAAGAAAAGAGATGCAAAACTGACATTTTTTCCAGTCAGAATAGTGTGTAAATAATGCTGATTAAAAACAAGACACAATGTTCTGCCCAAGTCCTCAGGGTTATCAAAATTACATCCCATGGGGTGGATCCAGCCTGAAGAGCCCTACCATGCAGTCCCTAGTGCTGCCCCTGGGTCCAGAGTTGACCCAAACAGTACCATATGTGGACCAGCCCTGTGTACGGGACCTGGGACACGTGCCGCATACAGTGCCTGCTTCAGGCATCTCATGACCCATGCTTAACACAGCACCTGCTCTGGCTGGCCCAGGGCTCACAGTGAACATAGCACCCACTCTGGTCAGTCAAGGACATATGCTGTAATCATGCTTGCTCTAACAAATCCAGGACCTGTGCTGCACGTAGCACACCCCACCCTAGCTACTCCAGAGCAGGCACCATGTGCAGCAAAGTCCTGGACTGGCTGGAGCAAACACTGTGTGTTGAATCCAACATGTGGGGTGGAGCAGGGGGAGATGGGTCTCTAGGCCCAGGCTGGCCCACAGGGCCAGACACATGCCATGGAGCAAGATGAGTTTGACACCCTTGACAAAGTGATAGGCTCTTGTCAAGAAAAGCTGAGACCTGTGTGGGTGGTGTAGTGTGGTGTCCCAATCTGTTTTAGAATAAGGGCCTGTTCAAAAAATGTAGACTACTTTTTCCTAAATTGCAGACATAAGGAACTGCCCTAAGGAGACTGGGACAGATATGCATAGATAGGTTAGCACCTATGGCATGCAGAGTGGTACCTAGTAGGACTGTGCAAAATTTTGCTGGCTGTTTCATTTTGACAGTTTCAACCAATTTTGAGGTCGAAACAGCAAAATTGGAACGAAACAAAGGCCGTTGAAATAGCCTGAAAACAAAATGAGGCTCATTGAAACATTTCAACTGTTTGGACCATAGGCTGGGGATGGGAAGTCAGTCCAGCTGGGCTGACTACCCATCCCTAGCACAAGATCCGGTAGGGGGTGGCGAGGCAGCCCAGCCCAGCAGTGGGATCTAGTGTGGGGGATGGGAAAGCAGCCCAGCTGGGCTGTCTTCCACCCCAGTACGATCTAGCACTGGGGATTGGAAGTCAGCCCAGCTGAGCTGACTTCCCATCCCCAGCGAAACTTTGAAACAGCGTCGAAACAGCCTTTCTGTTTCAACAGAATGGAACGGAGCAGCTGTTTTGACTCAAAATGAAATTCGATACAAAACACTGTTCCGTGGAACTGTCGAAACTCAAGGTGAAGCGAAACAGTGCTATTTCACACAGCCCTAGTGCCTAGCGGGATGTTAAAGCAGTGTTTAAACAGACTAGATACCTACCTCACATTAACTTTCAACAAGAATTTAGGCCTCTGACCTGCTTAAATACTTATGTAAATTCCACATCTGTGTCCTTATCTCCCTACATATCTTCATAAATCTGACCCCTCATGCCTCCCTGAAGTAATCTCAACATTTCTTTTGCTGAGGAGGTTCAGCTCTGCACTATCCCTTCCTCTGGCCCCAGTGCAACGATGTTAGTCCTACCCTCTATGCCAGGAATATAGTAACATAGCAAGTATTTTAAGTGAGAGGGGCATTGGGAGAGTTACACTCTAATCTGATTCTGCAGTTGCCATTAACAAGGTAACCAGTTTTAAACAGGCAATTTTTAAGTGGTAGCTAACTCATTCTTAATCTAGAACAAAAATAATAATGCCTTTCTTTCAAAATCTATTCAGTGATTTCACCTGCCTTATCAGCCTGTGAAAGCCATTATACAAATCTGGCTTTGCTCCTTACCAGTCTGGGCTCCCAGGGGAACAGCTATTGTTGTAAAAGTTTGGAAAAAATATTCAAGACAGAAAACAGGTGAGGTCAGCAGTAGATGATAAACACTTCCAATATGTTTATAATTTACCAAACTTATAAACTCCACCAGTAGGATCACAGAATGTGCTTTACTGCCTCAGAGCAGATGTTTCAAAGGAAAGTGCAAGGACGGACATTCTCCCTTAACCTCTCCATTTAAAGTAGCAAAGACAAATTGAAATCTAAGTCTTCTTTTTAACAAGGAAAAACTAAAACGTAGTTCCAGAAACTACATCTGCCTAGCCCCCCCTCCCAGTCCATTTTTGTGGTTTTATAATCATGTTTTTCCATCTCTCCTAAAATATTTTCCTTTTCTGCCTTACCGTGTAAAGACTGCGAAACCAACAGGGAAATCTGACTGACAATTCAGGGAGCACAGCATATGATCATACACAGTGCTACTGTATGAATAACATAAACCAGGAAATGTAATATTCCTTTACTATCTACTTTCAATAATCCTAGATATTACTGATAACAATAGTAAGCACAAAGAATTCAGAGAAAATGAGTTTTCCAACCACGTACCTAACTATTTTTGCCCTTTCTCTGCACTGTGGACTCATAAGTATGTACATATAGACTGAGCTCGCACAGTAGGCTACACACTGGCTAAGCATATATATGGCTACGTGCACATATACCTGAGCATAAACCCAGGAAAAGGCTGTAGGGGGAAGGGAGTCAAAAAAAGGAGATGTGTGGGGCTAGATGGAAGAGAGCAAGCTGGAGGTGTGTTGCTTACTGAGATCGATGCTGCTCTGGAAGGTGGAAAGCTCTGCATTCTAGCTTGGGCCTTTGCCCCCAGTGAGGCAGAAACCATTGCACTGCTCTCCAATGATTTTATCCAGTCATTATGAATACAATGGACAGTGGCACAGCTTCAAAGGAGCACTGGAAAATGGACAGGACAGGATAAGCCCAACCCATTGCCTAGTGGTTTGAGCCTTGTGTTAGCAAACAGCAGGCACAAGTTCAGAACTCATCTGGGCAAAGGGGTCCTAAAACTGATGTCCCCTGCTTTCTATACGAGTGTCCTAACCCACTGGTTCACAGCCCTGCCATGGCTGAGTGAAAATGCTCCTTATGTTTTGTGTGGAGCCTAATGCAGGCAGCAGCGCTAGATCCGGCTCTCACCTCTTCCCAATCTGGCTCCAGACAATATGTGTAGGGCACTTTCACCCAGCTGTGGTGGCAGCAGCAGCACCTCAGTTGAGAACTGGAGGTAAGCTGAGACAGCAAGCAGAGGCTGAGGGGGGATTTGGTGGTTGCCTACAAACTCGTTAGGGGAGATCAGCAGCAAATATGAAGAGCCCTATTATCCCCAGCACCACCTGGGGTGACGAGGAACAATGGCCAGAAGCTGTTAGAGAATAGGTTCAGGTTAGAGATTAGGAGGCACTATTTCACTGTCAGGGTAGCTAGGATCTGGAACCAACTTCCTGGGGAAGTGGTCCTCGCTCCTACCTTGGGTAAATTCAAAAAGAGGTTGTATGAACACCTTTCTGGGGTCATGTGATCCCAGCGTGTGCTCCAACCAGTGGCAGGGGGTTAGACTAGATGATCTATTCAGGTCCCTTCTGACCCCTAACTACTATGAAACTATGAGTACCACAGTGGTTCTCAACTGGAATGCAATTAAATTCAGAAGTAATACCCAACTGGGGCTGCTGGGTATTCAGTATTCTTGAATGCCTAGCTTCTTAGTCAGGTGCTGACATGGATGTAGAAACCTAAGCATCAGCACCCTTGAAAGTTTTGTCTGTGATTTTAAAGCTGATGATGTCCTTTGATTAGCTACAGCCTCAAACTCAGTGGAGAAGTCGGTGAAAAGCTCAGAGAGATAGAATAAGTCGTTAATGCTATTTTTTTATTTTGTAGAAAATGCATTTATACAGCATCTGACTTACTGGTGTGTTGATATTTTCAAACAAATGAACAAACAATTTCAACAACTTTGTAATCCTGGACACAGATGGCAAAGGGGCGACATGTATATCCACTGTTGGGTGCTACAGATCACCAAAACAATGGAGAAGGTGGTACCTGTAAATGTACAGTATCTATCCTTCCAGAGCCGTAGTAAGCAGAGGTGCAAGTTGATACTTCTAGCAGCCATTGTAAGTTTTGCTTCTCTTTCTTATTATATACTCAGTTAGTGATCATGTCCAGCAGCAGCTCCCATAGAAAAGTCAACTCTATACAGCACACTTTGTAAGGCCCCAAATGACAAAAACCCTAAAGCACATTCTTTATATTAAGCCGACAATTCGTTGTCCCACTAACATCCCGAGATCAACAGGCTTTTGATGGGATTTAGGTTCTTAAATCACTTCGAATCTTTTGACTCAAATTCATAAAATCTGTGTAAGTTTGTAAAAAAAATGGTGTAAGTGTAGTGCTGGATTAGGGCCTTAAAACACAAAGGATGTCAGAAATAAGGCATAGAAAGTTTTCTTTAAAGTACAGCCAACTCTCCTGGACTCCTCTCTTGCACAGACTGGCTTCCTAAGGGATCCTGCCCATGAGTTCCCTGAGCGAGATGAAGTCTGCTATTCTGAAGTCCAGGGTCCTAACTTTGCTGCTCTCCATCCTTCCTTTCCTCAGGATCCTGAACTCAATCATCTCATGATCACTGCTGCCCAAGTTGTCATCCACTACTACATTTCCCACCAATTCATCCCAGTTTGTGAGCAGCAGGTCAAGAAGAGCATGGCCCCTACTTGGCCGCTCCAGCATTTGCACCAGGAAGTTGTCCCCAACACTCTCCCAAATCTTCTTGGATTGCCTGTGCACTGCTGTACTGCCCTCCCAGCAGATGTCAGGGTGATTGGTTCTCATGGGGGACTTCAGGGCCTGTAAACAGAGAAACTTCCACTAGCTATTTGAAGAAAGCCTCCACCACTTCCTGGTTTGGTGGTCTATAGCAAACCCCCACCATGACATCACCCTTGTTGCTCTCCTCTCTGACTCTAACCCAGTCAACAGGCCTATCTTTAGTGTCATACTGGAGCTCTGAGCAATCATATGGCCCTTTTACATAAAGTTCAACTCCTCCTCCTCTTCTCCCCTGCCTGTCCTTCCTGAGCAGTTTGTACACCCATGACAGTGCTCCAGTCATGCAAGTTATCCCACTAAGTCTCTGTTATTCCAATCATGTCATAGTTCCATGCTAAGATGTGCTAAGTTTACTTAGAAACTTTGACTTGGTTGAAAAATGAATTTCTCTCTTCTTTTTTTTTTGGTATCTAGATAGCAAATATCTTTTGCATTTAAGGAAAAAATAGTCACCCCAGATTTACACTATCCCAATCCTATATTATACAAGCAAACAACCTACTTTTTAAATATGCCTATGTGATTTAGGTACCTCTGTCCCATGGAAAGTCATTCACATGTTTGTTTGTTTTTAAGTTCACTTCTAATTAATACTAGAATTGGTGTTTCCTTTCTTGACCACTGATGTGCATTATTTCTCCACAGATGCATCTGGAATTATTTCATTATAACATTAGTGTAGGTAAAATTAGAGAATCTAGCCATTGCCTTTGTTGTGATAACTCATATGTACCAAGAAAACAGAACTTGGCCTAATTAGTATGAAATTAATATGATAAATTCAGTATTTTGTATCTTGCATAAATTTAAGTGAAACTGATGTTTAACCACTAGGCATGGAGATGGAATTGCCCACAATCAAATATACTACAAGATACAGCAGCAATACAAATTCCCCCATAATACTCTGACAGTGTATCTCTGAAAGACTTCTTGGGCTCATAGGTAAGTTCACTGTTCAAGCCCCTTGAGTCCTTGACCTCCTTGGTGGTATTGCCAAGAGGGAGCTAAAGAGTGAGATTTAATTTTCTTACAGGCATTTTATTACTTCAGTTCAGTATGTCTGGCTTTTCAAAGGGCTAAATTTTGAAGACTGGGGTGAAATTGTGATCCCAGTGAAATGAATGTGAGTTTTGCTATTCGCTTCCATGAGGCCAGGATTTCATCCCCAAAACACAGATTTAAACACTATACATCCTACCTAAATCTTTGCATGATGCTGAGTACATGGCATTATTGAAAATCAGCCCATTTCCCTCTGGGGGTAAATGACTCAAAAGTAAAGAGAAAAATACAGCTTACAATAGACAGTGGAAAAGCATATGGAAGATATCCTTGAAGGGCAAGAAAAAACCTAACATGGCACTAAAACACACATACATACACAATATATTTTATGATTGAATTGTGCTTCCTTTATTCTAAGTGTATTCTTTAATTATTAATGACTAAGTGCTATAGTGTTTCCTATTGTCACTAGGTGATGCTTTCATTAAGCAATAGAATAAATAGTTCTAGTACAGTTCTGTTTTGCTTCATGTTCCAGGTTTCTTTCTTTACGCGTAGTTTTGGTTTCTCCATCTTTAGAAGAGACTCATCCTTGTGTGAGGTTGAATATCATGTTTCAGATGCATTCTGATTCCCTTCAGGAGTTATAAACTGTACTTTGGGCACCATGAGGGAGGAGTTGGTCCTCCTCATGGAGTTGTTTCTTCTTATGGAATTGTTTCTCCTCATGGAGTTGCGTTTCCTTAGAGAGTTCTGATGGGACAGCTCGCTCTTCTGGAGGGTCTGGATGAGGATGGAGGGCTTTTCATCTAGCTCCCGAGCACTGCAGCGTGGAGCAGCTACCTTGATTGTGTTGCCAAATTTGGAGTAATCAACAGCATATACTCCTTCCTCTTCTGTTACGATGGGCACAAAGCGGTGGCCCCACAGGATCTCCTCTGCTATGTAAGATGTTCTTGCTTGCGTGGTGATGCCTGTGGTCTCTACTACTCCTTCAAGTATCACTATAAGTTCTAAATCTTGGTTGACCAGGTCAGAGGGGGAGATATCGTAAAGTGGACTCCGCTTGTCTATAATATGGCAAATGATTAAAGGTGCTACCAGGAAAATGTTGTTGCTTTCAATAGGATTGTCCACTGGGATGTCCAGCTGATGAATGGGGATGATCTCCCCTTCGGGGGTAGTAGTCTTTTTCACTGCCTGTATTCTCACAGAAGCACTGATGATCATGCTTTTCCTCAGATCTCCCACTCTGAACATGAAGCAAAGTCTGCCATTTCGAACAGCAATAACTGCATGCCGGCTGAAAATCAAAGTCTCTGCCCTCCTGTGAGCCTGAGCAGTTTTCATAAATATGCAGCCCAGCATGACAGCATTAATAATCAAACCCACAATGTTCTGTAGAATCAAGACGGTGATGGCTGTTGGGCATTCCTCTGTCATCATTCTGCCTCCAAAACCAATGGTCACCTGAACCTCAATGGAGAAGAGGAAGGCAGAAGTGAAAGACCTATGGGAAAGGTTTAAACTCAGTTAAAGATATCTGAATACAGCAGATCTAAATATCGAAGTCAGCTGGACACATTCAGTTGGAAGTAGATTGAGCGCCCATTCCTACAGTTGTTGCGCATTTAAAACTCTCATTGACTTCAGGCAGAGCTTTATCTGTTTGACATTTTCAGGATTAGTGACATGGTCTAATTACTGTACTGCAGACTTAGGAGCCTGCAGGTCCTGAACAGTGATTCTGTGGTCCTTGGCTTTGGCAAATCAGCTAACCTCTCTACCTTACCAGTCCATGTTCCTCCCCAGGTTGGCAAGCAGGGTGTTCTGACACAGTCCCCCACTCCAAAAGTCTTTTACCCTCCAAAGCAGTGAGGGAAAGCTATAAAGATTAGTATAGCCTGAGGTTATTTAATTACACTCGCTTCCCCTGTATCTTGTGAACACCTTTAATAGGGCTGTAGGGGATAATCATACACCAGGATATCTGATTCCTGCAGAAACCATACTGGTCAAGGGTATGAGTGACTAGTGGGATCAGCCAACAGAAAGAAGGTAATGGATCTCTCCACTCAATTCTCATCTTCCCAAAGATTGGGAATGTTAAGACCCAGGGTTTTGGTCAGTGTCAAGATAAGGCTAGCTGCAAAATTTCAGTCTAGATTTAGTATTGTGAAAGTTACCAGACAAGTAGTATCTGGTTTATTTGCAGTTCCTGGGGTTTTATGCAGACCTATATCAACTAATATGACAAGGGCCCTTTTCATATATTAGAGTCCATACCCATATGTAACATCCACACTCGTAAGAGTTATGTTTATATGCAACCATCTCACAAAAGTGTATCTAAATTACTCCTTTGTATTGGGCTTGGTTTTCGAAGAAGGAAACTTGACCAGCTTTTAAATATCTCCCTTTTTTATTATGTTTCCAGAGGACTAGAGTCTTGAAGAAAATTTTAAAATATTTTATGGCATATGCAGTATCAGGAAGGGAATACAATGGACAGAGTGACTCCCAATAATAAGAGTGCTGAGCTGTAGAGTTAAAAAAAACTATTGGATGAGGTTTGTTTACAAACATGAACTTTTAAATATATCTTTTCATTCTTGGAAACCACCAGAAAAGCAGTGGTATGTCTGTGTTTGGTTTATGAAGAATTAAGGAGCAAAGGGGTTAATATATTAATAAATAGAGTTAATGAAAAGGTTAATATGTTAATGAATATTTTAGAAAAAAAAAAGTCTATAGATGAAACTTTAGTTCACCATTATCAAGGTTGTGTAGTATAAAATGATCAGCTTTCCTTTAGATATCTTTCCTTTAAAAATTCTACATTTTTATGTACTAAACTCCATTTGTTTATTTATTGTTATTTATCTGTTTTATATGCCTCTCTTGTTGAAGAACACTGTGGTTTAGTAGTGTGATACTGTGAACACAGAACTGGGAGCCAGTACTCTAATTTTAGTAATTCCAGGTCTCTCACTAACTCTCACTGTAGCTTTGGCAACAATTTCCATTTTTATAAAATGGGGTTGATAATACTATTTTGTCTAATGCAGGGAGTTTTATGAAGCTCAGTTAGGATTTGTGCAGACTGAAAATATAAAATGGTATGTAAGTATGGGTTAGACTTTCCAAGGCTAGGTGTCCTTTGACTCTGCTTAGAAAGTTTTTATTTAAGTTACTAGTATGGATTAAAGAGTCAAAATGCAGATTTATTTTTTGGCTGTTATTATTTCCGCCTACAATAAAAATATCAAATATTTTTACCACACAGAGACTCAGCTATTCTTAAAAGTATTACTGTTCATATTTTTATTTCATAACTGTTCAAACTGGTAGCCAGTTTTAACAGAACAGAGTATTTACTAAGGAAAAATATTTTTCACAACTAGAAATAAAGATGCTTGACTACCTTTTGGCCTGAAACACCATACATACTAGCACTCTATAGCAACATGTGTTAAAATAAAACGTTATGCTAATCCTTCATTTGCTTTGGTTGTTTATAACCCTTAGGACTTCCCTTGCTACAAAATGTAATGATCTTACTGGAATTCCTACTTGCCTAGGTTTTGTGTAGCATAAATTTAGCATGGTTACTGAGGTTTCTCAATAGTTGACAGACTGCATTTAGATAGCATCAGAACTTTAGTCCTGATACAGCTCTTGTGTGTTCTGGTAATAGCACTAAAAAGCCATAACACTGTCCTAAGCAGGAAGCTGAGGATTTTCTTTTTTTAAGAGCAAGGGACTATTGGGAATTTGTACAGCAGGAGGCATGACTAGAATGCTGGCATGTTCCTGGGATCCCCAGCTGGTATAGTGGGCAAGCACTGTCTGTGGGGATTCCAAAGAAATGCTAATACTGAGTCAATGTTAACTTCAGTGCATGCATTTCTCACTATGGATTTCCCCTTGGGAGGGGATGTCCCAGAGTCACAGCCAGCAGAGTCCCAGAGGAGAGACTCCACTGGAGATCAGTTCCTGCCATAGACCTGAAAGGTATGACATGAGGTTCCTGCCCAAAAGTGGAAAGTTGGATACCAATGGTCCTTCCACACCTAAGATTTACAGGCTTGTAGGGTGTAGCCACATGCCAATTCTGCCGGGACAAACCCTGTTACCTCCCCTCCTGTAACAATTAAAAGAAAATGCTGTGTGTGTGGAACCTCGCAGAACTGCCTCATCAGGGATGATCCGAGCCTTAATTGCTGTTTTCAGAAGAAATAACAGTTAATAATAAGAAAAAAAATCAGGAACAACAAAGTTGACTTTAGCTTAGAAGAAAGAAAAATCCCACTTATAAAAGCAGCGTGAAAATAAAAGGAATGAGGGAAGAATCAGGTCCTTCTTAAGCCAGAAATACACACAAATTTAAAGTTGTGGTATGCGCATAGAAACTACTGTAGCTTTTGAATCGAAGAGGGAAATAAAAGGATATTCTGGTTTCATGGACTTAAGGGCAGGTAAAAGTGGTATGGGATCCAATGCATGACCCACATGATCGTGCCTCCTGCCAAGCCACATGTGTCAGGCAGGAGGTGTGATTGTGGGATCACTCATTAGATCCCATCACACCTTATTGACAGTGCAGGGGGACCCTGTGGCTGCAAGACCAACAGTGGATGGGGCTCGGTGGGGCTCACAGTCAGGGCAGTGTTCCCTGCACTGCTCCTGCTGCAAGCATCGTCCACTGTGGGGCTCACCCACAGAAGGCTCCAAGCAGCAGAAGCATTCCCTTGCTGTGAGCCCCACAGACCACAATGCTGTGCAGCTTGCAGTGTTGGCAGCGAGAACAATGACACCACTCTAAACCTTGTGGGGTGCAGGACTTGCAGCAGCAGCAGCGGAGAAGTCACTGTTAGGAGCTTCGTGTTTTATCATGCTGTCAATTGGTTGAACAGGTACCTAGGTAACTGCATAAGCTGTACAGGGGGTTTAATTCTACCTAGTCCAGTCCCTGTTGAAGTCTCTTACATGAGTGCAGCATGGGTAAAATGTAACCATTCTGGTTCACTAACCTACTTTGTGCTGGTGTAGAAGACAGAACAACACAGTCCTGGGCCCTCTCTGTTCCAAGAACATGCTATACGTAAGGCTTTTGCTGGCAAAGTTCTCTTACTGCTTGCCCATAAATCCAATTAATGGATATCCTTTTGGTTCTGTAAGTATACTGTTTATATACTATTCCCTCCTAAAGTCATTTGGCTTGTACTCTGAAAAACTGCAGGGCTTAGGACATTATGTTTGTGTATTAACAGGACAATAATACACTTCTGTGTGATTTGAATACACCACTCCCAAAATTCCTATAGTGTTTTTTGCAACAGATCTCATGCAATATAGTATGTCACAGCACTCAGTCTTTAACTGAAACTGATGGCCTAAATCAGCCTCATAAATGACCATAATATGGGATGCTCTCTCAATTTCTGGCTTCCCAGCTAGAGACATCTTAAAGAGGCCTAATTTGCCACCTTGGAAATTAAAAAGAGGAGAGATGTTCTGTTGTTTCTGGAAATCATGCCTTTTAAAGATGCTCTAAATAAGGAAAGTCAGAAAGTGAGACACCCAGTTTCAATAATCACCTTTGAAACTTTGGACCCATGTTCTCAGTTTGCCCAATAAGCCATGTTTCACTGTCATGGTGTGAAATTTCCTGTGGAACACACCATTTTGGAGATGATGCCACTGATGCAGATGACACTGCATGTAAAACATATACCCGATGCTGCAACTCTCTTGCAGCTGACTTTATTTTTACAGGCAAGGAATGTTACCAACCTATTGTGTAGACATATGAAAAGCTGCAGGGTCTCTGTCACTTTTACATCCTTAAAGGACTCAAGAAATCTGCTTTTCTAAGCTTGGGGGGCTTCTAGGATTGATGGAGTCTAGAGGAAAACACAACATGTCTCAGTTGTCTCTACTGTATTAGACAGTTCAAGAAAACCAAAACCTAATTTTAGACTTGAGCAGCATGGCAATCCCATCACCGTATTCCTAATGTTTTGCGTATCATACTTTACCCAACATCTGTCACGCACGGTGTCCAGTTGGCACTGCCTTTACTGTTGTCTATTCTATCCATGTCTCCATGGGCAAAAGCTACCAGCCACCACACCATGGCAAAGAGAAGCCAGCTGCAGAGAAAGGACATTGTAAAGATCACCAGTGTGTGGCGCCACTTCAGGTCCACCAAAGTAGTGAAGATGTCTTGCAAAAAGCGGCCTTGTTCTCGGATGTTCTTATGTGCCAAGTTGCATGCCCCGTTCTTGGCAATGAAGCGGGCCTTGCGTGGACGGTCTCGGACACGTGGCTTACGAAGGTTTTCAGCAGCAATCCGTGCCAGTACATACTCCTCAGGGATGATGCTCTTCCTAGCCAGCATCTTCCTGCCACCATAGTCTACTTAGCAGAGCACAAATTGGGAATGGTTCTTCAAATGCTTTTCCACTGGTCTCACTTTCCACCTTTATCTCGTCTTCAAAGTCCTAAGGAAAAGAAGAACATGATCTGGTTTGCCACTGTTTCACTTTTTCCCTAGACAATAAATTGATGTAAGCACATGGATTACGTAGACCCCCCAGGGAACAGCTGTTAAATTAAACATTGCTGTAGGATTATTCCATTTAATTCATCATTTTAGATTATTTAATCAGGGAAAAGCTCTTAAAGCAATTTTAAAAAGTTTTGGTATTTTTCCTCCTGACACTTCTAGAGTAATGGAAGCCACAGAAAGTTCTTGTAGTTGTGCATCACAAGAAATCGTGTTTCACAGAAGAGAGCAAAGATCATACAGATCATGCCCTTCCTACAGTCTAACTACAGTAAACTCTTTGGTAACCAGCACCTTACAAGCCGGCATGCTCTGTTAACCAGCATGCTAGCTTGTAAGGAAAAGAGAAACCGGAAGTGCCCACCAGGGCACTTCCAGTTTCTCCGAGCCTCCACGGCCCGGGGAGAAGCAGCCTGCGCTGCCGAGCCCCCATGGCCTGGGGACATAACAGGCTGAGCGGGGCTTTGCAGTGCCCACCTTCACGTCCCGTGGGGCGGCGATGCCGTGGGAGGGGCGGAGGGATGCCCCAGATGAAGCAGAAGAAGCGGCAGCTGGGGCCACTCAATTAACTGGCATATTTTGTTATCCGGCATCCCCCATTCCCAGGGGATGCCGGATAACAGAGCTTTTACTGTACTACGTAACTCCCATTGAGAAGTACTCATCTGAGTAGTCACTTGTATACTTCAGAATCTGCAGGATCAGGCCCTTAACAAGGGCCTTATTTAACAAGGCCCCAGACAGCAGTGCCAGCCTGATGTACATTTCTTATACAAAGAGCTTACTGAAGCCAGTCAGACTACTCACATGCTACTCATTTGCATGAACTAGTGCTCCTTTCCTAGTCCCAAACATGAGCGTATGTAGAATTCTATGAAGTGGGGTGCAGACACTGAGGCATATCATCACATAATAAAAAAACACATTTTCTCTCCAGTTAAAAATAAAATAGAAGCTTTGCTAACATGCCAGGGGCCTAGGGCTGTATTATTCAGTTGAAGCAAAACAAATACAACTTTGAATGAGTTAAAAACAATCTGCAGGGATATGAAATGGAAGCTTCATTACCAGGAGCAGCTAACAGACAGCAAATTGCAGAACAAAGGATAGCTTGGTTGGTGGAACAGCAAGACCATTAAAAAGAAGAGAAGACCCTTAACACCTGTGGAATGAAGAGTTTAGAAGGGGTCAAGTAGATTACAACCATCCATGAAGTCAATTGACTTCCTCAGCACTACCTGACTAAAAATGCTGGTGCCACTGCTAGGCAGTTGGTTTTAAACTTTGGGTGGAGCAGGCAACAAAGCGGGTGGGGGGAGTGCACCCCTCCCCCCACAAATCTGCCCCTGTTCCCAAATGACCATGCATTTCACAAAAAAAATATGGAGAGACTGCAAGCCAGATTATACTTATTTTGTTTAGGGATGACAAGACATTCGGAGCTGAGGAGCAGACAATAGTTTAAGTTGTTGCTATTGTATTATTAATATTACTACTACAACAACAGCAGCAACAACCTAAACTCTTCCAGCTTTTCTACCGCTGTTGTAATAATAATTATTAACATTTATTACTACTACTATAATAGCAATAGAAAAGTTGAAAGAGCTTGTTATTGCTACTGTAATATTACTCCTCCTCCTTCTATTACTACTGCTATAGTAGCAGCAACAATCTAAACTCTTCCAGATGTTTTATTGCTACAGTAGTAGTAGTCAGTAATAATAATAATAGTAATAACAAAATAGTAATTATTATTATTACAACAGCAACAGAAAAGCTGGAAGAGTTTAATTTGTTGCTATTGTAATATTACTACTACGACTCATATTACTACTACTATAGTAACAGCAGCAACCTCAACTCATCCAGCTTTTCTATTGCTATTACAGTAGAAGTAATAAATAGGAATTATTATTATTACAACAGCTGCTGCTGCTGTTGTAGTAGTATTACTAGTAGTAATGGTAATAGTAGTAGTACTAGTACTACTACTACTACGACAAATACAATAACAACAACCTAAACTTTTCCAACTTTTCTATGGCTGTTGTAATAAAGTAGTAAGAAATAATAATTGTAATAATAGTGAATAGTAATTATCATTATTACAACAGCCATAGAAAAGCTGGAAGAGTTTAGGTTGCTGCTGCTATTGTAACAATAATAACAGCAGCAGCAGTAGCAGTAGTAATAAAATAAGACAATAGCAAGAACAATAAGAAGACAGGAGCAAGAATAACAATATTAATAATAATAAAAAGACAGTAGCAAGAACAATAAATAAAGGACAATAGCAAGAATAATAATTGTAATAATAGTAAGAATAAGATAGTAACAAGAACAATAATAGTAAGAGCAATATCAATGGTAATAATAATACAGTAGCAAGAACAATAGGCATAAGACAGTAGCAAGAATAATACTAGTAATAGAAATGATAATAAGAATAGCAAGAAGAGTAATAAGAATAAGACAGTAGCAAAAACAATAATGTTAATAATCATCATCATAAGACAGTAGCAAAAACAATAGGCATAAGACACTAGCAAGAAGCAATAACAATAGTAATAATAATAATTATTATTATAATGCAGTAGCAAGAAGAACCCAAACTCCTGCGGCTCTTCCTGCTGGCCG